CAGGCTCCCGCTGCAAGACACCCTCCATAGGAGTTGTGTTAAAATCCCGGTCCCGCCTGCCGCCCGCCGCCCGCCGCGCGACCGCCCGCCGCCCGCCCCCGCGTTCCTAATGGTCAACCCTTTCCGTGTACAACGGAACACCCAGTACTCAACAGCCTCTGTGTCCAACACAACACCCAGTACTCAACAGCCTCCGTGCCCAACACAACACCGTGTACTCAACAGGGTCCTGCTGCAAGACACCCTCCTTAGGAGTTCGATTGGAATCCCGATCCCGCCCGCCGCCCGCCGCCCGCCGCCCGCCCGCCCGCCCGCCGCCCGCCCCCGCTCTCCTTATGCTCAACTCTTTCCGTGTACAACAAAACACCCAGTACTCAACAGCCTCCGTGTCAAACACAACACCAAGTATTCGACAGCCTCCGTGTCCAACATGACACAGTGTACTCAACAGGCTCCCGCTGAAGGACACCCTCCCGTAGGAGTTCAATTAAAATCCCGATCCCGCCCGCCGCCCGCCGCCCGCCCGCGCGCCCGCCCGCCGCCCGCCCCCGCTTCCCTTGTGGTCAACCCTCTCCGTGTCCAACATAACACCCAATACTCAACAGCCTCCGTGTCCAACCCAACACCAAGTACTCAACAGGTTCGTGTCAAACACAACACATTGTACGCAACAAGCTTCCGCTGCAAGACACCCTCCTTAGGATTCCTATTGGCATCCCGATTCCGCCCGCCGCCCGCCCGCGCGCCCGCCCGCCGCCCGCCCCCGCCCTCCCTGTGCTCAACTCTCTCAATGTCTAACACAACACCCAATACTCAACAGCATCCGTGTCGAACACAACACCACGTACTCAACAGGCCAAGTGTCCAACACAACACCCAGTACTCAACAGCCTCCGTGTCCAACACAACACCATGTGCTCAACAGGCTCCCGCTGCAAGACTCCCTCCATAGGAGTTCTATTGCCATCCCGACCTCGCCCGCATTTGGGTTTTAGGGTATTCCACTAATGATGTATTAAAATACTAAGGTATTACGGTGCTACGGCGTTCGAGTCTTGGTGTCTTAGAGTCCTAGGTATTGGGCCTCGGGGTCTTACGGCCTTGGGGTATGAGGGTCTTCGGGCGTTAGGGTATTATGGCCTTCTGGTGCATGATGGTAGTATGGTATTACGGTATTAGCTTGTTAGGGTGTTGAGGCCTTAGAGTCACAGAGTATTCGGGTCTTGGGTCCCGGGGCCTTAGGTTCTGAGTGTCTTAGGGTGATGTGGTATTAATGTGTTGGGTCTTCGGTTCTCAAAGTTATCGTGTCCTACGGCCTTAGACTCTCGCTGTCTTAGGGTGTGAAGGTATTCTGGTATGAGAGCATTAGCGTGCTAAAGTATTCTGGCATTCAAGGGTTGGTGCCTTATGGCATTATGGCATTATGGTATGTGAGTACTGCGGCATTAGAGCCTTAACGCCTCAGGATCTTAGGCACTGTGTCTTAGAGTACTCGGGTCTTCGGGCCTTCGTGCCTGGTGGTCTTGGGGCATCGGTGTCTTTGGGTGCCAGGGCAGTCGGGCATCAGAGAATTAAAGTCTTAGTGCCTTCTCTTCTTATGGTCTTAGGGCCCTATGGTCTTGTGGCGTTAGGGTCTGACAGTCTCAGGGCCCTAAGGTCTTAGGAGTATCAGGGTCTTAAGGTATTAGGTTCCTACGGTAGCATGGCCTTAGGGACGCAGGGCCTTCGGGTCTTAGCGTCTCGGGGTATTAGTCTCTTAGGGTCTCAGGGCCTTATGGTATTGAGGTCAGAGGGTCGTAGGGTCTTCGGGCCCGCGGGCGTTCGGGTCTTCTGGCCTCAGGGTCTTGGACTTTAAGGCATTTGTGTATTAAGGCATTCGGGTATCATCATATTCGGGCGCTAGGGTTTTAGGATCCTCGGGCCCTGAGGTATTAGGAGTTCGAGCCTGCTGGTCTTAGGGCAGTCGGATCTTCGGGTATTCGGGTGAGGATCTTAGGATAGTAGGGACCTCTAGTGTTATTGTGTTAGGGGTATTCGGTCGCTCGGGCATGCGAGCCTTCAGGTGTCTGGGCGCGAGGGCTTCAGCACATTGGAGTCTTAGGGGGTTGGGGTCTTAGGGCTCTAGGGTGTTAAGATAATCGGGTCTTCGGGCCGTTGGGTGCGAGGGTCTTATGATATTGAGGTGTACAAGTCTGCGGGCATGAGGCTTTGAGGGCTTCAAAGTATTAAGGCGTTGAAACACCATGGCGTTAAGGTATTACGGTAGTATGCTATTGGTGGTATGATGGCACTCGGGTCTCATAGTGTTAAGACACCAGGTGTGGGGGTCTTGGGTCTCTAGGGCGTTAGGGTCTCAGGGGTCTGAAGGGTTTTCGGCGCGAGGGCCTTATGGTATTGAAGTATTCGGGTATTCGGGCACATGTTTTTTGTTAAAAACAAAAAAGGTATTCGTGTATTGTTGTATTAAAGTGTTAGGGTCTTATAATATAGGAGGATCAGGGTATTCAGGTGTTAGAGGGGTTGGGTATTAAGGAATTTGGGTGTTACGGTGGTAAGGGTCTTAGGGCGGTGTTCAGGTATTCGGGCCTTCGCGCGTTAGCGTGTCCGGGTGGTAGGGTCTCAGGGTCTTGAGGCCTTAGGATCCTAGGGGGTTAGGCACAGTGTTAGGACCTCCAGGTCCTATGGTTTCAAAATGTTCGGGTCGTATGGTTTTGGCGCTTTCGGGCCCTCGGGTCTTATGGTCTTATGGTGTTAATGTCTTAGGGTAACATTGTATTCGGGTATTATGGTCTTCGGCTGTCAGGGCCTGAAGGTATTAGGTGTTGCGGTCTTGGGGCGTTGGGGTGTTAGGGGACTTCGGGTGTTAATGTCTTCGGGTGTTAATGCGTTAGGGTCAATATGGTATTCGGGTCTAAGGGTCTTAGGGTCTTTGAGTCTGAAGGTCTTAGGGTGTTATGGTACTGGGGTATCTGAGTCTTCAGGTCTGGGGGTATCAGGGCCCTAGGGTGTTAGAGCCCTAGGGTCAAAGGGTAGTCCGGCATTATCTCTTTATGGTATTAAGGTACTAGAGGATTAGAGTCCTAGAATGTTATGGTCTTAGGGTATGCGGCTCATAAGGTATTAGGATCTTAAGGTTTGGGGGCCTTAGGGTCTAATGGTCGTAGGGTGTTCAGGTCTTGGGATCTTAAAGTTTGAAAACATTCGGAAAGTGAAAAGCCCAATCGGGGAACCGGCCTACATCGGGGAACCGGCCCAATCGGCGATCGGGGCGTTCACGTGCCAAAAACTGGGAGCGGGCGACATCGGGGATCTGGACGCTCGTCCGCTGAAAATGGGAGCGGACGCAATGGGGATTGGGAGTGTAATTGAACCGGCCAAATCAGGGATCTGAGATCCCTGATTCGGCCGATTACCTTGATTTCCTCATCAGAGGGATCAATCTAACCGGCCAAATTAAAGATCTCAGATCCCTGACTCGGCCGATTACATTGATTTCTGCTTGCTCCCGCCCAAATCTTTAGGAATTCCGGCGGAATGCTAAGGATCTCGTCCAGATCCCTAAGAATCCAAAGAAAATGCTAGGGGTCTCGCCCAGATCCTTAGAAATCCTAGGGGAATGATGGAGTTCTGGCCTAGATCCTTAGAAATCCGTAGGGAATGCTAGGAATCAAGCGCAGATCCCGAGGAGATGAATACCTAGGGGATGCTAGGGACCTGCCCCAGATCCCACGGCATTCCTAGGAAATGACTGCTGGGATCCTATTCAGATCCCAGGAATCCCTAGGGAATGCTGGCGATCTGGTCCAGATCCCTAAGAATCCCTAGGGACTGCAGAGGATCTGGGTCAGATCCCTAGGAGTCCCTAGGGCATGCTAAGGATCTTGTCCAGATCCCTAGGGATCCCAAAAGGAATGCTAGCGATCTGGCTCAGATCCCTTAGGAATCCCTGGAGAATGCTAGGGGTGTGGCTCAGATTCGTAGGAATTCCTTGGGAATGGTGGGGATCTGACTGAGATCTCTAGGAATTCCCAGGGAATGCTACGGATCTGGCTCAGATCCCGAAGAATTCCGCGGGAATGCTCGGGATCTTGTTCAGATCCTTAGGGAACCCTTAGGAATGATGGGGCTCTCGTCCATATTCTTAAGAATCCCTCGGGAATGCTAGGGATCTGGCTCAGATCCCTCGGAAGCCCTGAGGAGTGCTGAGGTTCTCGTCAAAATCCCTAGGGATCCCTTCGGAACACTAGGGATCTCGCTCCGACCCCTAAGAAAACATAGGGGATGCTGAGGATCTTTCTCAGACCCTGAGACTTCCTCGGATCTCGCCCAGATCCATCGGAATCCAAAGGGGGTGCGTAGGATCTGGCCCAGATCCTTAGGATTCCCGAAGGAATGCGAAGGATCTCGCCCAGATCCTTTGGAATCCCAAGGGGACGCTCGGGATCTCGTCCAGACCCCTAGGGATTCTAAGGGACGCCAGGGATCTAGTCCAGATCCTTTGGAATTCATACGGAATGCTACGGATCTGGCCCAGATCCCTAGGAATCCCGAAGGAATGCTAGGGATCTCGTCCAGACCCCTAGGAACCCCAAGGGACTGCTAGGGATCTCGCCCAGATCCTCGGAACCCGTAGGGCTCGCAGGAATTCCATAGGAATGCCGGGGATGTGGCTCAGATCCCTGGGAATCCGTATGAAATGCTAGGGATCTCGCTCAGATCCCTAGGAACTCCTAAGGAGGATGCTAGGGATCTGGCTCAGATCCAGAGGATTCCCTAGGGAATGCTGAAGATCTGGCCCAGATCACTAGGAATCGCTTGAATTGAATGTTATCGGCCAAAGGAAGAATCTGACACCCCTAATTCTGCCGATGACATTGATATCCGCTTGCTCCCGCCCAGATCCCTACGTTTTTTTAAACGTCAACAACCACTACGCCAGCGATCTGGCGGACTCAAATGAGCAAGCTCAACGCCACACGGCCCAGCCAGGAGGCTGAGACCGCAAGGCAGCGCCACTGTCGGGGCCATGCCCCCGTGGCGTGCCCTGAGCGCGACCAGGGAGCGCAAGGAGACCGTGCTCCGCGCACCCTGATCGGGGTAGGGGGCGCCGGAGCACGTGCTCCGACGCCCAACCTACCCACCACCTACTCCATAGGTGGCCGCGGTTTCGGACCCCGGGACCCCCAGGACCGAACCAAAAAAGGGACCACGACACGACGCGACACGACGGGGGGACGAAACGAACGACGCGACACGAACGACACGACACGGACGAACGACACGACAGAGACGAGCCGCCGGTCCCGCCCCAGGGCGGCGAGCGCTGGGGGGAACCAGCGCCGCCCTGGGGGAGGCCACGGGACCTGGCGACCCCCCCGGGGGAAGAAAACCGCACTTTGGCGGCGTCCCCCCGGGTGCGGGTTTTTTTCGCCCCTCGGGCCCGGCGCTCCCCGCCTGCGCCAGGAGGACCCTGGGGTCCCGACCCCTCCCCTACGGGAGGGGCCCCCTCGGGGCCGCCCAGATCCTTACGAATTCCCATGGAATGCTAAGGATCTGGCCTAGATCTCAAGGAATTCCTGGGGAATGCTAGGGATCTGGCTCAGATCCCTAGGAAGTCCCAGGAAATGCAAAGGATCTTGTTCAGATCCCTACGAATTCCTAGAGAATGATAGGGATCTCGTCCAGATCCCTAGGAATTCCCAGGGAATGCTAAGGATCTGGTCCAGATCCCTAGGAATTCCTGGGGCATGCTAGTGATCTGGCTCAGATCCAAAGGAATCCCTAGGGAATGCTAGGGATCTGGCCCAGATCCCTAGGAATCATCCACCATGGGGAATGCTAAGGATCTGGCTCAGATCCTTCGGAATTCCGAAGGAATGCTAAGGATCCCTAGGAATCCATAGGAAATGTTAGGGATCTGGCTCAGATCCCATAGGAAATCCTAGACGAGATCACTTGCATCCCCTAGGAATTTCTAAGGATCTGGACGAGATCCCTAGCATCCCCTAGGAATTCCTAGGGACCTGGGCGGGAGTAAATGGAAATCAATGTAATCGGCCGAGCCAAAAATCTGAGATCCCTGTGTGGGACCGCAACCGAACGGAACCCGAAGAAAGCGAACATCGGCGAGATTTCAGATTTCGCCCGCTCCCATTTTTGGCGAGTAAACGCCCAAATCCCTGATTTCACCCCCCCCATTGCCAGCGCGAACAAGATTTCGCCCGCCCCCATTGTGAGATCCCCGAATGAGCCAGATCCCCGAACGGGCCGATTATCCTGTTCGGATATTCGGGTGTTTTCCCGCGTGGAAACGTACAACACGCCCGATGTTCATCATCACCTAGTGATCATCATCATCATCATCATCATCATCATCATCATCATCATCGTCATCATCGACATCATCATTATCATCATCATCATCATCATCACCATCATCATCACCGCCACCACCAACGTCATCATCAGCAATCAGCATCATCATCGTCGTCGGCATCGTTATCACATCACCATCATCATCCTCATCATCATCCTCATCGTCATCATCGTCATCATCACCATTATTATCACCGTTATCAGTTATCATATCGTTCACCCCTCGCAAGAATGGCATCCGCTGCCCCCTCGAACAAGAGCCGCCGAGCATGCTGGACTGGCACGGTGGCGGGACTTTTCGCCGGCAGCTCGATACTTACACATCCGCTACACGGATAGGGGGCGGATCTTTCCAAGACGGACCTTTGGACTGAATGGCAGGCCGATGGGGCGTTACCTTTCAAAGGGGCGCTTCCTGCACTGCAAAAGGAAAGTTTGTATGGGGATTCTGCGGAGGGGTCTTGGGACAGGAGGATGTATTGCAGAATCGTTGATGCATCCTGGGTGTACTCTCCTCCTCCTCCTCCTCCTCCTCCTCCTCCTCCTCCTCATCTCTCTTATCTTTCGTCCTCTACTTCCCTCCATCCTCATCCTAGCTCCCATTCCCTAGCCCCCAGCCCGTGGTCCCTGCTCATGGCTCCTCGCTTTTGCCGATGTTCAAGCTACCGCTTCTGTTCCGGTTACCTGTTCATGTTGCTGTGAGTGCTACTGGCACTGATGCAGTTCCTCCTCCTCCTCCTCCTCTGCCTCTTCATTATCGTCATCGTCATCGTCGTCCTCGCCGTCGCCATCACCATCATCATCGCCACCACCATCACCATCATCATCATCATCATCATCATCACCACCACCGTCATCATCACCATCATCATCACCATCACCATCACCATCACCATCACCATCACCATCATCATCATTATCATCATCACCATCATCATCATAATCATCATCATAATCATCATCATCATTATCACCATCATCATCTCCATCATAATGATCATCGTCATCATCATCCTCGTCGTCCTCATCATCAGCATCGTCGTCAAGCTCCCCCCCCCCCCCGAGGGAAAAACAAAAAAGCTTCGAGGGAACAAAACAAGCCTCCGAGGGAAAAAAATATCCCGGCAAAGCAACCTAACAGCGATGTGTAGGAGCATATCTGGAAGCATTCCCCTTAAGATTCAGATGATAATCCAGTTGTAGATAGAATTCTGCTGTTCTCGCAGTCGTAGTCGCATTCGCGATGACAGTCGCAGCGGCAACGGCAGTCACAGTCGCAGCCTCAGCCTCAGCCTGCCTCAGCCTCAGCCTCAGCCTGCCTCAGCCTCAGCCTGCCTCAGCCTCAGCCTCAGCCTGCTTCAGCCTCAGCCTCAGTCTGCCTTCAGCCTCGGCGTCAGCCTCAGGCTGCCTCAGCCTCAGCCTGCATCAGCCTCAGCCTCAGCCTCAGCCTGCCTCAGCATCAGCGTGCCTCAGCCTCAGCCTCAGCCTGCCTCAGCCTCAGCCTCAGCCTGCTTCAGCCTCAGCCTCAGTCTGCCTTCAGCCTCGGCCTCAGCCTCAGCCTGCCTCAGCCTCAGCCTCAGCCTGCAGCCTCAGCCTCAGCCTCCTCAGTCTGCCTTCAGCCTCGGCCTCAGCCTCAGCCTGCCTCATCCTCAGCCTGCCTCAGCCTCAGCATCAGCCTGCCTCAGCATTCAAAATGTGGCCCGGGAATGGAGTTCTGGGAACTCGAAGAACACGAAGTGGCCTACAGTTGGCTCCGGGCATTCAAAATCATGCCCAGGAATGGAGTTCTGGGAACTCGAAGACCACGAAGTGGCCTACAGTTGGCTCCGGGCATCCAAAATGTGGCCCGGGAATGGAGTTCTGGGAACTCGAAGAGCACGAAGTGGCCTACAGTTGGCTCCGGGCATCCAAAATGTGGCCCGGGAATGGAGTTCTGGGAGGTCGAAGAGCACGAAGTGTGTGACTGTTGGCTCCGGTTATTCAAAATGTGGCCCGGGAATGGAGTTCTGGGAGGTCGAAGAGCACGAAGTGTGTGACTGTTTGCTTAACACGAGCGCGGTTCTGTTTCCGGTTCTCCTCCCCGGCACCCGCCCAGACCCCCCTGAGGAGTCATGATGCTCTCTTTTGACCCTACTAGAAACCTATCAGCAAACGCTGTTAGGTAATTAAAGCTTCGAGGCCCCCGGGCCCCCCCCCCCGCCCTCCCCCGAGGGGGGAAAAAAAAGCTGCGAGGGAAAAAAAACAAGCCTCGGAGGGGGAAACAAAAAAAGCTTCGAGGCCCCGGGCCCCCCCCCGCCCCTCCACCCCGGGAGGGGGAACAAAAAAAGCTCCCCAGACCCCCCCGAAGGCTCCCCGAGGGGGTAAAAAAAAAAAAAGCCACGAGGGCAAAAAAAAAAAAGCTAAGCCCCGTTAGGTGGGCCCCAGGGAGGTCCCCGACACGAGCATCTATGGAGGGACTGGGAGTCCTGGATCAGGCCCATGTACACCCCGAACGTTGTCAAAGTCCACGCCAACGACAGGGCGACTGACTGCAGCCTGTACCGCTGCCGCTTGCGCCAGGACGCTCGGTTGCTGTCCACGCTCCGCTCAACGTACGAGAACAGCGACGGGGCCTCGAGCGGGAAAAGCTCCAGAAGGCCCTGGCGGTGCAGGTGCACAATGTTCGGGATCCACCACAGGGGGGGTGACCCTGAGTGGGGGCATGAGTTCGATCCGTTGGTGCACCGAACTGCCGCAAACAAACGCATCCCGCATGCCCCAGTTGTCCGCAACTATCGGGAGCTGCTGCGGCTGGTGGGCATCTGTTATGGGCGGTTCGGTACAAAAAACCAATCGAACTCACCCCCCTCCCCGGGGCACACACCCTCTTTACTGGATCCCAAAATGTGCTCGCCCTTGACGTTGCGGTTGCAGACCGCCATGACGAACAGGCAGGTGTAGAAAGAGACGAGGGTGGTGAATGCGGCGTGCCGCACCATGATGCAATCCGACACGCTCTCCGTGTCCGCGCCCCAGCACGAGTAGTCGTGCCGCTGCGGGGTGGGGCTCCAGACGGCAAGAAGAAGAACACATAGCTCTAACACACATGTTCGCAGGTCTGCGCGGAGTTCTCGGACGGGGGCCTGGATCCCCCGGCCCACCCCTCGGCGCCAGAGACGCTGCCAGGGGGTGTCGGGGGTCCAGCGCCGACGTGAGAAATTCGCGCGGACCTCCAAGGGCTTGTTGATTAGGCACAAAAGGACCCCTAACCCTTTGGGAGGCGACCCAAATCAGGAGGGCCTGGAACATTAGGGATATGGGGTCTTCTCTGCAGATGCATGAGGCCACATCGCCCAGATATGATCCCCAGTGCGAAGACGGGGACCTGAGTGAGGCCACGTCTTCATCTGAAGGGGCCCTGGGACACACAAAGAAATACACACAAATAACAAGATTCCCCATATTTTTCTATATTTTCTGGGTTGTTGTCTTCCCCCCCACTTCCCAGATTCTCCCATATGTTCTGGGGGATCAACGATTCATTGTGCCTGTGTTTTTTCCGTCCTGATCATCGTCTCATCAGGGCCAGGGGTCGACTCGTGCTCGTGCCGCGCTTCTTCTTCGAGATGGACATCCGCCGCCCTTCGGCGCCGCTGGGGCCGCCCAGCGAGCGCCCGAGAGCGGCCTGCAGGGCGATGAGGGTGTACATGGCGGCGGCCAGCTCCGGAAACCAGCGGGGCACGCAGCCCTCGTTCACCAGCCGCTCCATGCGCAGCACCTGGGTCAGGAGGTCGCCCCACGGCACGTGCTCCCAGATCAGCTGCTGCCGGGGCGGACGAGGCAGGAGACGGAGGAGGAGACGGAGGAGGAGGATGAGGAGGAGGAGGCGGAGGAGGAGGAGGAGGTGGAGGAGGAGGTTGAGGGGGAGGGGGAGGAGGAGGAGGAGGAGGAGGAGGAGGAGGAGGAGGAGGAGGAGGAGGAGGAGGAGGACGAGAACGAGGAGGACGAGAACGAGGAGGAGGAGGAGGAGGAGGAGGGGAGGGGATAGCAAGCTAGGCCACCCAGCTTCGCACGTCGCGTCCCGCGATGCAAGCTTCGCTTCGCGCCCTCGGGAGGCCACCCTGGCAAAGAGGGCAGCTGTCCAGCACAGGCCGCGGCGCGCGGAGCGCGACTCTCTTTTGGCGCCCCTTCGGGTGGCCTGGGCAGAAGGGGGGCGTGAGCGAGGTTGAGGAGGAGGAGGGAGGAGGAGGAGGAGGAGGAGGAGGAGGAGGGAGGAGGAGGAGGGGGGAGGAGGAGGAGGAGGAGGAGGAGGAACAGGAGGAAGAATCAGCCGCATGCCGCCGGTTTTCCCAGCGCCTGGGGCGGCTGGGGCGCCAGGGCCGGAGCTGGCTGCACGCAGGAAGGATTCGTGCCTCCCCTCCTCTCCCAAATCCTCGCCCCCCCCTGTCGCTCGGGGGCGCGCAAACATGGACTACCGATCCATGGATTTGACACGCGGTCGCCAAATCCATTGATCGGGGCAGGCGCCCTCAACAGAATGCGGCCGGTGCCGCCTCGCTCGGCGGCGGAAATCCGCGATTTCCCAAGGAAACGGGACCCGTCGCTAATTCACACCCCCTTGGTCCACGTTTGCGATCGCCTGACTGTCGCCCCATCAGCCTCGGAGGGGGCCCTTTCGTCCCCTGGGGGGCGTCCGAGAGGGGGGCGTCCTTGAGGGGGGGTCGCAAATCATGGCCCGGGGCACGTGTGCGGCCCAGGGGGGGGGGGGGGCAGGCGCCGTACTGAAACAGGAGGAGGCGCCATGAAATCTGGGGAGGTATCATTGCCCTGGCCATGATATCCCCCCCCCTCCCAGTCACCACCCACGTCCTGGTCGCCCCCCGACTACCCCAATCGATTTTCGGTCACCGTGGGAGTGCGCCAGCTGTACACCCACGCCGATCCTGGCAGGGCCCATCCTGGGACCCAGCTCGGTGGATACGCCCTCCTGCCTCTTGGCCAAGAGAGCGTGCACACCGCTCGGTGTCCCAGGATGGGGCTGGAGCGGTGCAGGTGCACATGGCTGCACGTGAAAGAGCGCCTCTGGCGGTGCGCGGTTTTCGGGGGGGCCGATGGGGAACAGAGAGCAAGCGTGCCGGCCGGTGCTGGGGGGGACCCCTGTGAGCCCGCACCACATAGGCCACTCCGGCGAAGGGCCACTCTTAAGTACAGTCGAGGTGTGTAGGTGGCGCCCTCCGACCTCCGTCCCCTCCCCGGAGGAAACCAAAAGGCACCGATGTCGCTACTCCCGGGACCTCTGCTGGGGTGCGTTCTGACCAGGATCTCGAGGCGAATCGAGCGGTGGCGACGAGAGCCTCCCAGGATGCCCACAAATGAGAAAACGGGTCGGGGGGTAGAGGGATGGGCACCATGTCCTCCTCCCTTCCCCGGTCCTGGCAGCCGTACAACTTCACGCCTCGCCGCAGCGTGGACAGCCAGATCCTTGAGCAGGGACCGACCGCCCCAGCATTCCCATGGGCCCACCACGAAATGTTCGTAGAACCCCAAAATGTTCCGAATACAAGAAATGTTTCTACAACGTAAGTCAAATGTGTTCAGACAGGACAGTCCTGGCCAGAAATGTTCTAAGAGCATGTCGTGCAGACTACGACAGGTTCTTTGACCATCTTTTGGTAGGCCTATAGGCAAGCTGGCATGCTTCGCCGCCTGGAATCGGCGATGCATCGCCGATAGATCGGCGATAGGCCCTCGATCGTGAATCCGCACCTTCCTGGGCAGGTTGGGGCCATCAGAACCCCATCGGCGATCAATGAGCGATTGGGGGGCGATGCGTCCCCCCTGTGCCCATCCCCCCCCTGGCCGTTGCCCCCCCAGGTCCAAAGGGCGTACGCCGCCGGTAGCCAGAGCGACCGCCACCAGAGCCGCTCGGCGCCCAGGAGGCAGGGCAGCAGGCAGGCGAGGGACAACACGATCTGCACCAGCAGCCCAACGCCTGGGGGGGGAAGAGGCAGAAGGAGACGAACAGCAAATTCGCCGGCCCAACGGGCCAGAGGCGTGCTAAGATCTCCGGTAACTACTTAACAATATTTCTAATTCGCGCGCGCGGGGCGGCCCCTGAGAGTCCCCCGGCGAAAAATACCCCGACCGCAGCCCGGGAAGGTCCCGGGAAGGTCCCGGGAAGGTCTACTCAGAGATGGTTTTCCTCCTGGGTACGGCCTCTCAGGCCCCCCAGAGCGCGCCAAGAGGGCCCCAAGAGGCCCCCAAGACTAACCAAGAGGCCCCCGAGACTCCCAAAGGACGCTCCAAGACGCCGAAGATGATCCCAAGACGGCCCAAAAAGCCGCCAAGACGCTCCAAGTGGCCTCCAAGAGGCCTCACAAGAGCGCCCCGAGAGGCCAAAATCATGAATTTTACTATGGTTTTGGAAGGGTGTTGGTCTTGTCGCATTTTCGGCTTTCCGATGCTCCAAGACGGCCCAAGAGGCCCCCAAGAGCGCACGAAGACGGCTCAAGAGGCCCCCAAGGCCCCCAGAGAGCCCAAACGGGCCCCGAGACGGCCCAAGAGACGCCCAAGACGGCCCAAGAGAGCGCCAAGACGGCCCCAAGAGGGGCCCAAGATGGGGACCACGAACCGAAACCTCAAGCCTTCCGCCCCAAGAGGGCCCCAGGAGGCCCCGAGAGGCCCCCAAGATGGTCCAAGATGCCGCCAAGAGGCCCCCAAGAGACCCCAGGAGGCTCCAAGGAGGCTCAAAAGAGGCCCTACAAGGCTTCAAAAATGTCTCCCAGGCGCGCCCGAACGGCCTCTCAACAGACCCCAGGGCCTCCCAAAGAAGCATCTGGACGACGGCCCTGTTTGGCCCCAAGAGCGCCGCAAGATGCCATCGAGAGGCTTCCTCCTCCGCCCTTTTCTCTTCCCCCTCCTCCTCCTCATATTTATCTTCATCCTCCTCCGTTCCTTCTCATCCTCTTCTCCTCCTCCCCTCCCCCTCCCCATCCTCATCTTCCTCCTTCTGGCGGCGCCGAAATGGCCCCGAGCCCGCGCCGAACCAGTAGCGATCATGCAATACGGGCCGGCGGAGTGAGCGAAGCGATTGAATTAATAATATTAATAAGGAACATAAGAAGAATACGAAAAATAATACGTATTATCATCATTTGAACAATAATAAGAAGAATAAGGAGAAAGAGGAGAAAGAGAAGAAACAAGAGAAGACGACGAAGAAACCGAAGACGAATGAGAAGAACGGGAGGAAAACAGAGAGACTGGGTGGCGCCCCCTACTGATTCGGAAGCGAGTCGGCCTTCCCGCTCCCGAGCCGCCCGGGACCTCGCCCCAGGCCCCAGGGTTAGGCCGGGCATGTCCCCCTACAGGCGCATCTTGCTCGACATAACTTGAAACTAATCAAAAAATACTCCCAAATGGCTACAACAAACAAGACATCGTCTTCATGGTATTTTCTTGAACTAGTCTTGAGCATTCCTCCTGTAGAGGTGCAGGCCCGACCGAACCCCAGGGCGCTCCCGCGCCAGATCGCAAGGGGCGCGCCGAGGCCCCCCTGCCAGGCGCCCGAGGCACGGGCGAGGCCCGCACCCCCCCCTGGAGGGACCCGGGGGGAGCGGAGGTGCCGTCGGGGCGTTGGCAGAATCGGGCGTTGGCAGGACTGGGTTCAAAGTTGGACGCCCGAAGTGGGTACGGAAAAGATGGGCAAAATGCTCAACAATAAATGTTGTCCCAAACCAACAGCGGCCGCTGTTGGGACATGCGGTGTCTCAAATGGACACAGGACGCGGCGGCGCGGACAGCGAGCCCTGTTCAAAATGAACAGGAACTGCTGTCGGGCATTGTGCCCATTCTTTCCGTACCCATCTCGATCCTCCCGATTAGTGGGACCTGGTTTAGTAATGTGTGCTGGGGACGCCCCCTCCCCGCCTGCAAGCCCGGGTTCTTGCGCGTACTCGAGCCTTACGTTTCCCCGATCAGAGGCCAGGAGAGGTTCCCGGAAGGCCCCTGCCTTCCAAGGAACCCTGCTGCCTTCTTAGAAGGCCGCCCCCCATCACGCCGCCCCCTGGATCGGGCGTTGGCAGAACTGGGTTCAGTGGGACCTGGTTTAGTGATGTGTGCTGGGGGACGCCCCCCCCCCCCCGCCCGTTCCACTAACCAGAACAGCCGTCACCCGAGAAAAGCACCAGCTACGGCAGACCTGGTTGAGTGATTCTGGCCAGTTTAGGGGCTCTGGGGCCCTACTTCTGACCGAGTCCTCTTACCTGGGGTCCTGGCTATACCTGAACTGAAAGACGGATGCACGATGAGGATTCAGGGTTATGTTGCCCCCATCGTACTTCTAAGGACCACATCCCAGAAATCATCTCGAGCACTCAGGAAAATATCGGAACAGTGTCCAACGAATGTCGCCTCCCAGGGCCCGACACGTGAAAGCCCTCAAGTTCCTGGTGCTCGAAATTCTTTCTGGTGATCAAGGCCCACGTAGGTTGTTCCATCATAAATCATAAGGATGCGCGACTTGTGGGATCCAAAATGCGGATAGCAGGGCGCCCGAAGGGCGTGGAAAGGCCTGGCGAAGAACTCTGGAAAGACCTTTTGGCGAGCTTCCGAAAACCTTCTGGAGAGCTTCCGGGCACGCGTGTTGGGAAACGCTTCGAAAAAACCTGCCAGAACACGCTGCAGGCTCAAGCAAGCCGCGCTGGGGATTCTGGACGGAACGACCTCCAAGGCTACCCTGCGGCTCCGGCTTCTTAATCTGAAACCCTCCTGGCTCTCTACGAGCTATCCGGGAATGAGGATCCAGGGGTCTTGGACGACCATGTCGACATTTCTCGAATGGGGTTGGCCAGCGGAGGTTGCACGACGAGGATGAGAGGGATGCACGATAAGGATGCAGTCCACCCGTATTGTGAGGATGCGCGGTAGGGATGCAGGGGCCTTGGAAGGCCATGCCGACACTTTGCAAGCGGGGCGCGGCCAGCGAAAGCGGCCAAGGACCTTGGGAAGGTTACCCATCCTTACTATGCGGGTTGACTGTACAAGGGTCTTGGACAGCCTTGTCGACGTTTGTCGAACGGGTTGGCCAGCGAAGGTTGCTAAGGATGAGTACGGGGCGAGGGGGCAAGGATGCAAGGATAACCTTGGAAAGCTACTCATCCTGACTGTGCGCTTCGACTGCAAGGAAGGCAAGACAGGAGACAACATCGGACAGGGATACACCGGGAATCCCTGAGATCGAGCGGATCTGGAGGACGTATCGGGCGCCCGCGGCCTTCGCAGAGCGTCCCTGAACGGTCTGAGAGCGTCCTGGAGCGCTCTGTGACGATCTATCCCTGTCCTACAGTCGGACTTGATTGGGCAGGACACGCGAGAGGACACAAGACCCTTCCGAGGGCCACATTGCCACAGGAATGTGGGAAGCATGGGTCGCGAGACACAGGACACAAGGGTACCCTTGGTTTGGCAGGGTCGACCTACTAATCTGGGCCGACTGTATGGCCCCGCCCGAGGAAGGAACGCAGGCTGGACCAGAGGGTGCGGTTCGGGGGCGGCCAAGAGGGGGGCGTCACAGAGGGGGGGGAAAATCATGGCCAGCGGCATGTGCGCGGCCGAGGAGGGGAGCGGGGGACGCAATTATTGGAATAAGAGGAGGCGCCATGACATCTGGGGAGATATTATAGCCCCCGCCATGATATCCCCCCTAGTCTGAGGTCGGGAATGTCCCCCTACAGGCCGATTTTGGACGAAAAATTAAACTCTCGAAACATTTTCAAAACAATATTAGAAAATATAAATCCAAAAGTCGTCCCATGGCTATTGTTGGACTATTCTTGAACATTCCTCCTGTAGAGGGGCCCGACTTAACCCTAGTCAGCACCCCGCTCTCGGCCGCCCCCGAATATGCCCCCCCCCCCCGGGCGCCGTGCTTCGACTGCACGCACAGGCCGGAAGCGCCCCAGCTCAACGGCGTCCCGAACATGCCGTCGCCGTCGGCGCCGTCGCCAGGGTTCGCGGCGCAGCTCAGCCTGTCGGCGGCGCGCGCGCCGAGGGGTGGGGGCGCGCAGGGGGCCGCCCGCCGAGGAGAGGCGGGGGGCTCCTGAGAGGGCCAAGGACCTTCGTACGGGGAGAGCCTTCTGAACTCAGAACACGCTTCTTGAGCTGCTTTTTGAATTCGAAGGGCGCTTGCTGAATTGAACCATCAGGGGAGGAACAGGTACCCATACCTCTACCCTCTCCTCGTTTTTCTCTTTCTGGGCCTCCTCGGAGGCCCCCCAAGGGGGGAACACGAGGCGAAGGGTAGCGGCATCGGTACCTTTTCCTCCTCTGATCTTAGAGAGCCCCGAAGCCTCCAAGAAACCTTCTCAAAGGCCAGGAGGGGTTCCCGGAAGGCCCCGGCCTTCCAAAGAAGCCTGCTGCCTTCTTCAAGTCGGGGAGACGAAGACTCGGGTTCGGGACCGCGGGTCGGCCTGACGGGGCCATCATGAAAATTACGAGGATCCAAACTGAAATTTGACGCGAGCTCCAGCTGCAGATATCCCACCCAAGACGGCTCGTCACAAAGCGCCTGCAAGCCCGGGTTCTTGCGCGTACTCGAGCCTTACGTTTCCCCGATCAGAGGCCAGGAGAGGTTCCCGGAAGGCCCCTGCCTTCCAAGGAACCCTGCTGTCTCCTTAGAAGGTCGCCCCCCATCGCGCCACCCCCTGGTTCGGGCGTTAGCAGAACTGGGCTTAGTGGGACCTGGTTCAATGATGTGTACTGGGGGACGCCCCCCCCGCCCCAGCTACGGCAGACCTGGAGTGATTCTGGCCAGTTTAGGGGCTCTGGGGCCCTACTTCTGACCGAGTCCTCTTACCTGGGGTCCTGGCCATACCCGACTGGTGCGCGCCGCCAAGCCTGGGCACCGGCGAGGCGATGCGCGGCTTCATGGGCGAGCCCGGGACCGGCTCCGTCACGCTGCGGGTCGGCGCCGCCGTCTGGTTCAGCGCCTGTCGGAGGAGCCCAATGGTGGCGGTGAGCGAGGGGGGTTAGCGAGAAGGGGAAGGCCTTCTAAGAAGGCAGCTGGAACTTCTCAAAACCCCCCGGCGCCTTCCGAAAAAAGTTCTGCGTCTTTGATCAGGAAACTTCTTAGAAGGCCGGGGGACTTCCGAGCCCTCTGAAAGGCTTCCTCCTTGTCATTTCCCCCCCTCGCTCGCCGCCGACAATATACACGACGATCGTGTCGTGAAGTTGACGGCCTTGGTTTCTGACAACGCGTGAACCGCTCAACCTCGAAAAGTCGTGTCTCTCTGATATCGCAGATCGTTCGATACCGGACGACTCTTGCCGATTGCGGCTTTCAGGGCCTTGCACGACGCCGCGTCGACACGGCACGAACCCACAGTGGTCAGATGCGATGCGCAGATGACCTTCAGAAGCAAATTGCCCAGAGCCCAGAAACTTCGAGTCAACGGTGGGGATGCGTGGGGAAGCCAAAGGTACCGATACCGCTACTCCCTGGACCTCTCCTGGGGTGCGTTCTTACCAGGAACTCTTTTTTTCTAGAATGATGAAGACTGCCGGCTTCCCAACTGATTGGAAGAAGACTCCACCAAGCAGAAAATTAGCAGAAAATTCTGTGCATCCGCCCTCGGCTGCCGAGTCAGCCGAAACTTCTGTCACGAAACTCGGCCCCTAAAAGCAAGTAACTGTCCCAGCCGCGTGGCCGATAGCTGCTGTCCTAGTCCCGCCCGACTGGAGTGGTCCAGTGCGTGCGCATGGACAATTGGGCCACGCACTCGGTGCGGCCGGTCACGAGAAGACACTGCGACGCTTCCCTAGCGGCGCAATTGCACTCGCCACAGGCCTGCATTCAGTCGCAACCACGGACTGCCAGCAAAGCGGGCAAGCGACAGTGGCAAGCGGAGGCGCAAGTAAAACAGGACAGACAGGCAAGCAGGCAATGCGGATGCTGCGGATTACCCATACAGCGTCTACGCAAAAGGAAAAGCGAAAAAGACATAGCCACAACACGAGGAGAGGCCCGACCAAAAATTAGCCTGGCGAAAGACCCAACCATATGCAGTTGTGAGTAATGCTGGTGTGAGTACCGTCTTCGGTGGATCTCCCTATGGGGCCACGAACCGTTTGAGGGGTGTGCCGAAATGGGTGTGGGGGCGGCATGCGAACGTTGCCACTGGGGCCTTCGGTGGAGCTCCTTATGGGGCCACGAAACGTGTGAGGGGTGCACCGAAGTTGGTGTGGGGGCGGCATGCGAACGCAGCCACTGGGGCCTTCGGTGGAGCTCCCTGTGGGGCCACGAAACGTGTGAGGGGTGTGCCGAAATTGGTGTGGGGGCGGCATGCGAACGCAGCCACTGGGGCCTTCGGTGGAGCTCCCTATGGTGCCACGAAACGTGTGAGGGGTGTGCCGAAATGGGTGTGGGGGCGCATGCGAACCCAGTCACTGGGGCCTTCAGTGGAAATCCCCATGGGGCCACGAAACGTGTGAGGGATGTGCCGAAATGGGTGTTGGGGAGGCATACGAACCAGGCCACTGGGGCCTTCGGTGGAGCTCCCTATGGGGCCACGAAACGTGTGAGGGGTGTGCCGAAATGGGTGGTGGGGAGGCATGCGGACCCTGCCACTGGGGCCTTCGGTGGAGCTCCCTATGGGGCCACGAAACGTGTGAGGGGTGTGCCGAAATGGGTGGTGGGGAGGCATGCGGACCCTGCCACTGGGGCCTTCGGTGGAGCTCCCTATGGGGCCACGAAACGTGTGAGGGGTGTGCCGAAATGGGTGGTGGGGAGGCATGCGAACCCTGCCACTGGGGCCTTCGGTGGAGCTCCCTATGGGGCCACGAAACGTGTGAGGGGTGTGCCGAAATCGGTGGTGGTGGTGATGATGATGATGATGATGATGATGATGATGATGATGATGATGATGATGATGATGATGATGATGATGAGGATGATGATGATGGGAGGAGGGAGGGGGGTGGGAGCGAGGAGGAGGTGAGGAACGCGGGGCGCCGTTTCTTCAAAACGAGGACCCAACACCACAGGATGGTTGGGAAAAAGGGTGAAGAAGGAGAACGAGAAGGAAAATAACAGGTATTGAACAACCATCCGCGTCGAATGGTGTGATCGCTGGGCGACAGCCGCCGGCGAGCCAGTGCCAAAGCAGCACTGCGCAAACGAGACAGTCGTTTTGAACGAGACAGTCGTTTTGAAAGAGACTATGGCGTAGAAGCCGAGAGCGTGCACAGAACAGAAGGGAGGAGGGGGGAAGCAGGAGCAACGGCGACAGCGGCGGCGGCAGGGAGGCCGAAGAGGCCGAACGCTGGCCGACCCCAGCAGGGTCAGCCAGCGCACCGCAGGAGGGAAAGAGACGAGAAGGGAGGACCTAGTACAGCACTACTCCATGCAAACTCCTAAATAAAGGATCGGCTCAGGCGACGGGTGCCAGCAGCGGACTCAGAATCGGACTCAGAATCGAGCACCCCCGAGCTGGTCGAGCCAAGAGTCGGCGAACTGGTCGGCGCAGGAGTCGGAGAGCTGGGCCGGCACCTGAGTCGGTGAGCTGGTCGGCACTGGAGTCGATGAGCTGGTCGGCACTGGAGACGGTGGGCTGGTCGGCGCGGGAGTCTGCGAGCTGGTCGGCGCGGCAGTCGGAGAGCTGAATCGGCCCTGGAGTCGGTGAGCTGGTCGGCATTGGAGTCGATGAGCTGGTCGGTACCGGAGTCGGTGGACTGGTCGGTGCGGGAGTCTCTGAGCTGGTCGGTGCGGGAGTCGGCGAGCTGGTCGGTGCGGGGGAGTCGAAGTATATGCCAACATGCCACAATGACGCTAATGTCGAGGATAGGCCGGTATACCCCAAAAAACGAGGATAGGCCGGTACACCCAAAATGACGATAATGTCTAGGATAGGCCGGTGCACCCAAAATATTGTCGGTGAGGTGGTCGGCGCGGGAAACGGCGAGCCTGTCGGTGTGGGGGTCGGTGGGTTGGTCAGCGCAGGAGTCGGCGAACTGGGCTGTCTGGGACACGGCGAAGTGGTCGGTTGCTGTAAGTCTGCTGTGGGTTCGTTAATTACTGGTGTAATTTGCGCCGAGTCGGAGCTGGTCGGCACGGAAGTCGGTGAGCTGGTTGGCGCGAGAGTCATCGATGATGGTCCTTCACCTGTCCCGTCGTCGGCCGCGAAGTCGGCGAACAGGACGGCGCTGGAGCGGATGAGCTGGATGCTGCGGGTCGGCGGGCTGGTCGTGGCGGGAGACGTTCCTGCGTCGTCTACGGGCGGCCAGCCAGGGCGCTGGCAAGTGCCTGCATTGCCCGGGCGTGCCCGCGAACTCCTTCGTGCGCACGCTGCAGTAGTAAGTCGTCCAGTTGGCCGTGTGCGGGATGCCCGTGCCGCAACATGCACTGCGTTCTTACCAGAATCTCGAAGCAAATCCAGCGGTGGCGACGAGGGCCTCCCAGGAGGCCCAAAAAGGAGACAACACGGGAGGGGTAGCGGTATCGGTACCCTTCCCTTCTCTGAATGCGAGCTCTGGTCAGGAATCGCACAGCCACATGCCCTTCGAAATCACAGAGAGAGCGTGATCCACCGCCGCTTTACTGTGGAAAATTGCCAACCTTTTCCTCCGGAGCCCGGGCGTCGCCCCCCCCCCCCCCGAAAATCCCCCCCCCCCTGCTGAATCCCTCCCCCCCCCTCTCCCCCGGCAAAACCCCCCTCCCTAACCCCTCCCCCCCCCCTCCCTCCCGCTCGAAAACCGGGGGGGGTCACTACCGGTTCGAACCCCTTCCCCCCCCCCCCCTTCGGATCCGGAAAACCGGGGGGGGGTCACTAATTACCGGTTCGAACCCCTCCCCCCCCTTACCCTTCGGATCCGGAAAACCAGAAGGGGTTACTACCGGTTCGAACCCCTCCCCCCCCCCCCCCTACTCACCGCCAGCAAACGACTCCCGGTCCCCACCACCGTCCGCATCACATCCCCCACTGGTGTTCCCAGCACCACTGTCCTCACCACCGCTGTCCCCACTGGTTCCACCACCGCCCCTACTGTCCCCACCAGTGGCCCCACCACTGTCGCACTGTCCCCGCTGTCCCCAGAACTGTTCCCACCACGGTTCCACTCTCCCCACTGTCTCCACGGCCCCAACCACTGCCCGACTATCCCCACTGTCCCCACTGTCCCACTGACTCCTCCGCTGTCCCACTGAGCTGTCCCACTGTTCCCACCACTGTCCCCACTGTCCCCACCACTGTCCCCACTGTACCTTTGTCCCATTGTCCCACCGCCGTCCTCGCCACCGCCTTCACCACTGTCCCCACCACCATTGTACCCTCCACTGTCCCACTGTTTCCACCTCATTCCCATTGTCCCCACACCACTGTCCCCACCACCACCGTCACCACCACTGTCCACTGTCCCCCCCTGTTCCCACCATTGTCCCCACCACTGTCCCCACCACTACCGTCCCCACCACTGTCCCACTGTCCCACTGTCCCCACCACTGTCCCGCTATCCCCTCACCACTGTCCCCACCAACACCGTCCCCACCACTGTCCGCACCCCCACTCGGTTTTCGAGGGGGGGGGGGGTTCGAACCGGTAGTGACCCCCCCCGGTTTTCGAGGGGGGGGGGGGGAGGGGTTCGAACCGGTAGTGACCCCCCCCGGTTTTCCGCCAGCAGCGGTAGAACACGCTCTTTCAAATCACGAGAAATCGAATCGAACTGCGCCGACACGCCAAGACTTGCTCCTTGGCATGCTCCCTGCTGCCACGTCCAGGAGATTCTGCACATCTGCAATTGCCTGGTGAGCGTTTTCTTATTCGGCGTTTCGGCATTGGGCGGAAAGAGGGGGGGGGCTGGCTCTGGACCTCTGCTCAATTCGACTGGTTGCAGCATTGCGTCCTATGGGGGAGGCTCCACCCGCTGGAAACAGGCGCCAAAAACAGCCAAGATCTACTCCACGGGGGGATGGGGGAGGGGTGGTGCGAGGGCCCGCGCCGAACGGCAAAACGATGAATACGAAAACGATCACCGCTGCCCTTCCCGCTCCCTCGTCCCCGAGCGAGCGGGGCTGCGCCACAGCGCGAGAGGAAGGACCGCACGGTGGCTCGTGAATTTCCGAGCTAGCGGGAGGATTGGGACGTCGACTGCGACGCCTGCAACTCTCCGAGAGACTTCAAGCAAGTTCTACCCAGACATCGGGCGTCTCGAAAAAATCGAGACGGCGGTTTTTCATTGTTTTTGGCCTTTCGGGGCCCTCGCTGGGCCTCGGGACCGTCAAACAACGACTCGGGATGAGAAACCGGAACCGGGGAAGTGGTCGGGAGGTCGGGGTCCCGCGTCTCAAAAAAATCGAGACGTCGGATGTCCGGGTACCTGCTCCCTTTGTCTCCACCAGCTGCTGTGTTCAGTGACGCGCGCGGCGCGGTCCGCACCTGCGTGCGCCGCCGAAGAGTACCCTGCCGCCCGCTTCCGGTGTGAGAGCAGGGGGCGCCGGAGCTGCGCGGCAGAAGCTTGCCGTGTGCTTCGCGGACGGATGCGGAGACGCAGGCAGGAGCTGCCGTCCTCCTCCTCCTCCTCTTCTTCTCCTGTTTATTATTATTCTTCTGTTTCTTCTTCTGTTCTTCTTCTTCTTCTTCTTCTTCTTCTTCTTTCTCCTCCTCCTCCTCCTCCTCCTCCTCCTCCTCGTCCTCATCCTCCTCCTCCTCCCCCTCCTTCTGGCCCAGATCCCCGTCCTCTTCGAGCTGCCACCGAGGGCCACCCGCAAAGGCTTCCCGTACATCCCCTGCAGGCCCTCACGAGGCCGCCGAGAGCCCCCCCCCAGCCCAGAGGCGACGCGGCGCCGCAGTGTGTTCTGAGCAGCTGCCCCAAACGCGGTGGCAGCCATGCGTGGTTACGCAACTGCTGGCAAGCCCGACACGGGTATGGAAGACTCGTGTCGTCCAAAACCTGGATAGCGGAGCACCAGAAGGCCGTCCAAAGGCCTGTCGAGGGAGTTCTGGAAGCTCCTGGAAGGAGCTTCCGAAGGAGCTTCTCGAAGTGATGTTTTGCCTTAGGTGGGCAACTTGCGCGGCGACACCGACAGCGAGTCCTCCCTACAGCGGGCAAAAACTGCTGCTGGCCTTCGTCCGCCAAACTTGGGGAGATCAAAAGACACCGATACCGCTACTCCCTGGACCTCTCTCGGGGTGCATTCTGACCAGAATCTCGAGGCGAATCCAGCGGTGGCGACGAGTGCCTCCCAGGGTGCCGAAACAAAAACGAACACGAGGAGAGGGTAGCGGTCTGGGTGCCCTTTCCTCCTCCGAAGCCTTTCCGCACTCGTTTCGATCGCACCGCCACTAGGTGCTTTCTGGCCCGGGTCCTCGTCGCCGTCCTCCTCCTCCAGCTCCAGCTGCTCGAGCTCATCCAACGTCCGCTGGTGGTACTCGCTGGCCGCATCCAGCGCGCTCATCGCGGCGCTGCTCGCGGAGAGCTTCAGCGGGATGAGGGGCACCAGCCTGGCCCCTCTCCTGCGCGGGCGGGGCAACACCCGGCGGTGAGGCAACCACCCCTAGACCCTGCTCTTGCGGTCAGATCTCTGAATCCGGCTGAGGATCTCGACGGCCAAGTGGACCCCGGCTGAGGGGTCCGATGCTGCAGGCCTCCCAAATGGGGTCCGAGTGGATGGGGTCGGTAGATCGCGCCGCATCGACGATGCATCGGCGCTGCGGCGCGATCCTCCGACCCCACCTTCTCCGACCGCATCTGGGAGGCCTACAGATACCCCTAGGGTTCGATAGTGGTCGCGGAAGGTCGCAGACTGGTCCCCCACGGCCGCGGGCAAGAGCAAGGGGACGCCGGGGCCTGGGGCGCTAGCGGTGTTCTGCACGACAGATATGCAAAACCAAAGCAGCGCGAAGACATCCCCCCACGCAGTGGTACCTCATGTTTGCTGGTGGCAAGCGTGCGCAATGCAGCGCAGTGAGGTGCAGTGCAGCGAGGTGAGCGAGGTGTCATGCAACGCGCGGCATAGTACAGCAAAGCAAAGCATAGCATCGCGCTGCCTGGTACAGCAATATTGTGTATGATTGGATCACAAGGCATCGTGTAGCATAAAAGGCACAACGCGGTAGTGCATAGCATCGCATTGAACAACACGCCGTGGCTTAGAACAGCAAGACATAACCCCGCATTGCGGAGCCACGCATGGCATAGCATAGCCCGTCATGCCACAGCACTGTCATAACATTGGCATACCACTGACGTGGCATTTGCCTTACACCCTTGACGGTGCAGTCGGCCCGTATCAGAAGGATGCGCGATACGGATTGAAGGGCTTCGGACGCCCATTTCGAAACTTTTCGAGCGGGGCGCGGCGAACCAAAGTGGCGAAGGATGGGCTGAGGACGCAAGGATGCAAGGGTACCCTTGGGAAGGTTGCCCATCCTTACAAAGCGAGTTGACTGTAGAACACACCTAGGGGAACGAAGAATAACCTAAACATAAAAACTAGGAATTCCGCGCGGATTTCTCGGATCGGCGCTCGACCCCACTTCCTGGCGCGCGGAGCGCGCCAGGGGCGGCGCTGGAAGCGCCACCAGGGGGCAAGCGCCAGCGCCGATCCGAGAAATCCGCGCGGACCTCAGAGTTTTTGTGTTTATGTCATTGTTCGTTCCCCTGACATTGGGAGCATTCCAGAAAGCTGAACAGAGCGCTGCAGAGAGCCACCACATCAATGCTGTGGCGTACCTGCCCGAGACGACCCTCTGCTGTGTTGGAAACTGGGAGGCCACGGAGACACGACCGGAGACCACGCAAACAGAGACCCAAGGCCACGACAAGAGATCAGCACCAGGAGAGGAGGAGAAGGAGGAGGAGGAGGAGGAGGAGGAGGAGGAGGAGGAGGTGGAGGAGGAGGAGGAGGTGGAGGAGGAGGAAGAGGAGGAGGAGGAGGACGAGGGGGATGAGGATGAGGATGGGGATGGGGATGGGGAGGAGGAGGAGGAGGAAGAGGAAGAGGAGGAGGAGGAGGAGGAGGAGGAGGAGGAGGAGGAGAAGTAGGAGGAGGAGGAGGAGGAGAACGAGGTGGAGGAGGAGGCCCAAAGTCCAGCAGCCCCAACCGAACCCGAAGGAACGGGAGGGGGCCGACTTGGCGGGTACCTCAGGTATTCCTGAGGCCCCAGAGAGGAGGATCAGCCCAGTGGCTGATCCAGATTATAAGGAGGCCCAGACCACCCACAAGCCCAAACCAACGTCTGGGGGGCGGAAGGCGTCAGCCTGAAGCGGAAAACACCGTCAGAGGGGGGTGAGGCTCCAGGGGCTTCACCGAGCAAGGGCCAGAGTCGGCCGCGAGCTGTGACCACGCCCCGCGTGGCTGCATCTCCTGGCCCCCCTCTCCCCTTCGCACAGGATCTCGCCGCCCCACTCCTGGGCAGGGCTAGCGAAGACACGTGTGCCTCGAGGCTGTGGACGACCGCGGCCAACATGCCTCGCGAGACCGATCGCTCCAACGACGGGCGGCGGAGGTTGGGCCAAGCCTGAAATACAAAGACCAGAAAGGGCTCACTCCAGGGCCTCAAGGCTGGATCGGGCCCCCATGTTTTGGTTCGACCACCCTACCCAACCTCTTTTCACGGAGCGCACATTAGACAGAGTCTTGGGATTGTTAGGAGATCCTACAGCAGGGGGCCTTAATCTTCTAAATGCACTTGCTTGCCAATATGCAGACTGTAGCAACCACAATATTCACATATGCCCGCGGGACCAACGACGGGGGCCCCTGGGCACCTGGAAGCAAACGACGTTTTTTAACTCGCTGCAATCTGCGCCTCGTGCAAACCGCAAACACCGAAACAATACATCATGAACCCGTTCAACGTTGTGCTCCACGGTCGGCAACTTAGGGGCCCATGCGGCACAATTCTTCGGCGGGGCCTCGACATGTAGCTCACGATGCATCCAAATTGCTCTGGAAACCAAGACGGCCAGCTGCCTCGTGCTGTGGGCGGCCCGTTTCAACAACTCCCTGTGATGCTCCATTAGCGCGTTGGCCACCTGGGCGTCGGCAGCACCTGCAAACGCAAAAAAGATCCGCCCATGCGTTCCCAATCGCATGCGCCATGCATCCGCCACCGCCAACAAGATCATACAGGTCCTTGTGGCTGGGCGCCCACACAAAGCGGCACCTTTCCAGATCATTGCAACACAGCTCGCACATTGCTCTCCTGATGCAAGTGCGCGTGGAAGTGGCACTCGGTAAATATATGTCCCGCGCGCCCGCTTCTTTCACAAAGCTGAGATGATCAGAGACAAAAGCCCAAGCTTTTTTTTGCATTTGAGCGCCATCAGACCTGCGTACACTTCGCCTCGCGGGGCCGACTGCTCTTAACCGGGAAGGCGCTCGCATCTCGCCCTCGCAGGCCATCCAGTCGACGGGCCCAGCTGCGCCGCCGCCCATCCCGCTCTGCATGCGATCGGATGAGCATCGTGCAAACAAGACGCGTCGCAACGAGAGAGCCGTGCCCCAGTCGCTCGAGCGGTCTCCCCACTCGTGAACCTCGGGCGCGTCGGACGGCGTTTCTGGCTGCGAGGGCTCCATGGGGGATGCCGTAAGTGGACTCGAACGTCTCGCACTTGCCTCCGTTCTCGGCCACCAGCTTCCCGCGACCAGCACGAAACCCGAGCGCGTCCTCAGGCGCCTCATCAGGCAACAACTCCGATTTCTCAAAGATCACGGGGTATGCGTTCCATCGGTGGGCAGCCGTGCCTCTTGGCGCCTCACAATGAATACGTTGCCTTGATGAAGCCAGCCCGGGCTCGAAAGACCTGTCCTGGCATGGCAGCCCGCCAGGCCACGCGCGTCGAGTGGGGCCTCTGAGCGGCCCAAGCGGCGTCTTCAGACTTGCCATGCGCACAGCGCGTCTCCATATCTGCTCACCACCGTTCCGTTCATGTAGATGCTGAAGCGCCCTTTCCATCTGCCAGCTGAAAATCGACGGGGCCAACCTCTTCTCGATGTCCTTGGGCGCAACCTGCAACAATGAATGGTCGCGTCTGCGGTCGTCTCTGACCGCGCGCGGGCTCGGCGCGCCCCGCCCCTCGAAAGCGCGAGCCGCGCTGCTGCCGCGGGCCCGCGAGCATTTTGCCGCGTGGGCTTCGATTTAGACGCCCGTCCGTCACCGCTTGCCATGGGTGGTGCGCACCAGAAGCTGGGAACACCTTATCGCGTGCAAAGCTGGCGCATCGTTGGATCAGCAACGCACAGCAGTCAAAGACGGGGCCGAACCGATCATCACTCTGAGTGGCAAGGTGGAGCGTAAATGAAGCGTTGCGGGCTGCGCCAGTCACGCCGCCAGCAAATGTGAGCAATGAATTGCACGAGCGCTATGCCCGCGGTGCCGCCCACTCCGGTTCCGTGCCCAGGTGCTGGCGTCCGCCCCGCCTGCTGCAACGCACCTAGCTTCGCGTGTACCTGCCCCCTTAGCATCCAAACTTTCGTTTTCGGCCCATCAGGGCCTTCATGTGCTCTTTCTCTTGGGGCCTCAGGACCCTGGTACCGCGGTGCTCATGCCCGAGACTCCGAATGCGTCGTTTGGCCCGCAGACGCATGCACTTGACCCGCAACTGGAACCCTTGGCCGCTCGGACCGCGGTAGCAACGCACCCAGACTTGCTCTGTTGGAGGGCCAACCCCCAGGTCTCGAAGGTCGCCTGCGAAATTACGCGCGCACGCGTGCAATGCAGCGGCACCCATTCACACCCTGACCTTTCCATTGCAACGTGCTGCCATCAATCTGCATACGGGCGCCGTGCCATCATAGCGCGCGTGCATGTAATCCATGACCCTAAACATGACAAGTGCGAGCGCAGTAGTGGCGTGCGTGCAGCCAGCCAGTATGCCTTGACATGATGTGACCATGGTGCTCATGTTGGCATAGGCTCTCGCCGTGCGTGGGATCATGTATGTCTGCAGGATCACCCAAGGTGAGCCTCGCAGGGTACCCGAGCGCGCGCGGCCCGTTCATGATCACACTCCGTAGTCTGGTCTCGTAGCACCTGTACATATCGACCAACGCCGTGATGACGTGTTGCTGGCGCGCATGTGCTGCCTCGTCCTCAGAATTTAGCTGGGGTGCGCACTCGCTTGGACGCCTTCGAATAGCTCCGCCAGTTCAGGCAGCGTAGTTCCCTGGGGCGCCGTGCCCGAAGTGGACGCCATAAGAGAATGCCATCTGCCACCTCGCAGGGCCCCGCGGGGTCGCAGGTCCACCTCGAATCCGCCCCCTTTTACCCCTGGCAGAACTCCCGGGGCAGCCTGCGCATCTCTCCTGGGCGCCGAACGCGCAGTCGTCGCCGTGCAAGACAAGCCGGATCCAGCTCCCTGGGACGCCGAACTCGCTATGGACGCCATACGGGAACCAGCGTCAACCATCTCGGAAGATCCAGGAGGATCGCGGGCCCACCTCAGCCCTGTCCTCTCCGCCCCTGATGGGCCGCCTGGGGCAGCCTGCGCAATGATCAGGGGCGCCGAACTCGCCGACCACGCCGTAGGGCAACCACTATCGGCGCCGCCTGTTCACATGACCACCTCCTCGCGCCCGTCGGGCAACAGCACGGGGGACAGGGCGTCCACTCTCCGAGCGTGTCTCGCCCATCTCTGGGCAACCTTCCACGCGCGCTCGGTCTCGCCCCAGCATCGACCTTCATCTCGCAACATTTCTGCCCGGCGACGCGCCGGCTGCAGCCCTTATTGGACAGGTCGGGCAACGCACTCTCACCAGCGATGTCAGCCACCAAGCTCAACCTCCAATGTATTCAGCACCCCAAGCCAAGCCTCTGCGAGGTCCGCCTTCCGTTTCACCTCCTGTATCTGGCGTAATGCCGACCCCCGCGAGCACGGACATCTCGCGTAATCTGGCTTCGCCACCACTGGCAAGGCCTTCGGCTCCGTCAAATTGAGCAACGAGAGAGGGGCCTCCCTGGCATTGACAACCATTAATACCGGCAAATGCAGCGTGGCATCCACCTCCTGGTCAGCTCGCGGCTTAACTCCCCCGACCAACTTTTCATCGAGCAACAAATAATCGATGATAGATCCAGGTAGCGATTGTCTTCGCGTCGACGAAACGCTCGCGATAGTCCGCCCGCCAACTGGAAGAAGACAATGCTGGCCAGTTGGGTCAGCGCATGACGCGTTAAAACCACCCCCAATAGTTCAAGACAGTTCCATCGACCTCATCTGTTTCACATGGCTGGCAAGGGCCTATTGCATCTCAACGTTGCTCGCAGGCAGGCCGTCACTCACGTGCATGTAGACAGAGTCTATGATCAGTCCTTTGGGGGCTCCCCAACGACCTGGGCCGCCAGGGCCCCTTGCGGGATCAGAACTCCAGCCGGCGACATGGGCGCGACCGTGATGGCCTCCCTCTTCGGAACGAGAACTGCCACTCCCATTGGCGCCCCGTCCGCAAACGTCGCCGGGGCCTCTGTCCAGATTCCCTGCCAGCCCATGGGCCCGTGGGCAAAACTCTGCTCTGACAATCTGCCAACGTTCTGGCAACAAGCGGTGCTCTTGCACGCGCAGCACCATCGCCCTGCTTTGCGGGAAGAGCCCCCGCAGTTGCTGAGCTGAGGTGCAATTGGGGGTCTGAACTATATCATTCGTCTTTGATGTACTCAAACAGAAACAAGCCCACACCCTATGCTCAAGCCGTGCGCGCCCGCTTCGGCAAACTCTGGATGCCTTCGCTGGGCCTCTTGACCGCGTCGCGCAGGTCGTCCTCGGGTCACGGAGCCACTTGCCGCGCAGACTCCAAGAATTCCAGCAACGTCGCCGCATCTTCTGTCCCAGTGGGAAGAGCATGCATGCGCTGCGCAGGCGTAGTAGGAGCAGAGGCAGGCACTGGATCATCATCACAATCAGGCATGTGCAGGGGCCGTTGCTCCTCTGGCCTGGCCTTCTCCTCCGCATCCAGAATTGCAGACCTGCCCGCCTTGGGGTGGGCAGGCAGCGTCGTGGTTTCCTGCTCCCCCGTGCCTCTTGCCTTCAGGAGCTGACCCAACTCCCCGACCGACGCTCCGATGTGCTCGATGGTGGACGAAAGTGCCCTTTCGGGTGGCAACCTCGGTTGAGCCTCCAGCGCCTTCTTGAGCTCAGCCGCCTTCGCAACGATCTGTTCGAGAACCTCGGTCTGTGCTCGCTCAGCCTCCTCCGATACGCCCTTAGCCTTCTCAACGGCCAGTTTCGCAGCCTCCACCGCCTTCTCGAGCTTGTCCTTCTGGAGGGTGAGCTGCTTCTTCTGGTTGACCACATCGTGCGCCCTCCACTCGAACGGATGAGCTTCACGCAGCTTGGCCTAGCAACTGTCACGGTGCCGTTCGAAGTGCATGTTCTGCTGCTGGGCAAACTCCGAGGTTGGCTCTCGGGGCACGGCCTTGAGCATCGCCTCTGTCTCCGCCAATTATGTATTCCATTTCTCATGGTCGGCGGCAACGGGGAGGGTCCCGCTGCCTGTATCGACTTGCATGTCCGAATCGTCGCCCTTCGTTTCCAGCTGCTTGCGCAAGTCGGCCAGCTGCTTCTCCAAGTCCTTCTGACGCGCTGACTTGTTGCTGTCCGTGCAATTGCGCTCAGCCTTGCCACCTGCCGCCGAAGACCCGGAAGGAGCCTTGGGCGGCATGATAGAGAAGAAGGCGACGCTCATGTCGCACTTGCATTCGCCTCCGCGTAGTTTGGCAGACGCAGGGTTCCACCAACGTTCACCCGACTTGTTGGTGCACCGCCAACATAGCCCTGGCGTGGCCCACGCCATCCGCCTCTGCTGGTGGCGAAGCGCCTGGGACATTGCGGGGGGCCCACAGGCCCAGGCTGCAGCACGAGATGCTGGACCGCCAGTGAGCCCCTCGGGTGCTGGCCAGTAAGATGACGTCGAGCGCAAACGCCCTGGCATTGGCCGCCGACTAGCGGTATCCCGTGTTCCGCTGGGGTACTCATAGCCTTGAGCTAAAATTGCTACGGAAGAGGAGGAGGATGAGGATGAGGATGAGGATGAGGATGAGGAGGCAGAGGAGGCGGAGGAGGATGAGGAGGAGGCGGACTGACGCTGCAATCCATGCCGATTAAAGTCCGACCATCGCGGGCCACTTGAGATCACAGCAGCCCTCCCCGCCCAGCATGGACTCCGCTCGAAGTCGGTCCGCGGACCCCCTGGGTCCATCCTGATCCGTCCTCCGAGGCGGACTCGGTCGCGGCGACGAGACGCCGCCGAAGGAGGTCCAGGGACGACCAACGCCAGGAAGGGCCGCCGCTGCCTCGACGGTGCCTTCCTCGGAGCAGCAGCTCTTTGTGCTCCCCCCGGGGCCTGCCGAAGCTCCCGACGCGCTGCATCAGGTGCGCGTGCCGCTGCCTGTCGTGCTCTCGCCAGGGGGCCTCCAGGTCGACCTCACAGGGGCACAGGCGGGGGGATCACGAGGACGATGACGATGGCGACGATACGCCTATGACGACGATGACGACGATGCCGATACGACGATGACGACGATGACGACGATGGCGACGATACGCCGATGACGACGATGATCGTGATTCTGATGTTTTTGCTGTTTGAACTGACCCCGCAACACCTTGCCTCGGTGCGCCGCCTGTGATGTGAATGGCGAGCGCGCTACGTAAAGTGCCTTGTGCCATCCACAAGCTCGCCGTCGGCACCTAGCGAAACGTGAGGCCATCACGCGCAGCTGGCAATCCTGCTGTAATCTCGGAAGGCGCGCCGCTGGATACCCCAGAGGAGGGGGGTCCGCGAACCCCCCGCCCTCCCTTCCTCCCTTTCCACGGTCCTTCGTCCTGGGACCCCCCCCCTTTCCCGATCCATCGTCCTGGACCCCCCCCCCTTGGACTCGAAAATTGGACCCCCCCCCTCCCCCCCTTTGGCCATGCCGCCCCCCTAGCTCAGGAACCCTACCCCCTGACCTTACCGTCCTAATCCTAACCCTAACACCATAACCACAACACCCTAACCCTAACACTCTGACCCTAACACCCTAACTAACTACCTAAGCCCAAACCGCCCTAACGGTAACACCATAACCCAACCCTACCGCCCTAACCCTAACACCCTACCCCTACCAACCCTTAACACACTACTCCGCACCCTACCGCCCTAACCTGACCCCTAACACCCTAAGCGTAACACCCAGACCCCGACACCAATGCCCCCCCACCCCCTAATCCTAACACCCTGGCCCTAACACCCTAACCCCAGCGCCCTAACCCAAACACCCTAAGCATAACACCCTAAGCCTAACACCCTAACCCTAACCCTACCCCCCCCCCCCACACACACACACACACGCACACGCACACGCACACGCACACGCACACGCACACGCACACACTTAAATACTTACACACACACTTACACACTTACACACTTACACACTTACACACACACGCGCACACGCACACGCACACGCACACGCACACGCACACGCACACGCACACGCACACGCACACACACACACACACCGGGGCACGCACCCCTTCTGCGGGCTGCCGACCCTACCCCCCTTTGCGCGTGGCCCGATGAAGGCCATCAGCGACCCCTTCCATGGACCGCATGCTCCTGAGACTCGGAGTAGCTCAAACGGGCGAGGGGGGGGGGGCCAAAGTGAGGGGATCGACGGGAGGAGGAGGAGGAGGAGGAGGAGGAGGAGGAGGAGGAGGAGGAGGAGCAAGAGGAGGAGCAGGAGGAGGAGGAGGAACCGTTTTTTTTCGTTGCGCAAGTGGAGCCCATGGCCAGGCCACTGACCGCGCCACGTGCCCCGCGCGGCGCGCCGCGCAGGCCTCCTGGCGCACGAGGCTCACCGGAGCCAGGATGGCGAGGGAGGAGAAGGAGGAGGGGAAGGAGGAGGATGAGGAGGTGGGAGGTGAAAGAAGGGGAGGAGGGGAAGTAGGAAGGAGGAGGGGAAGAGGGGAAGGATGAGGGGGAGGATGGGAGGACGGATAGGGGGAAGGAGGAGAGGAAGGAGGAGGGGTACAATTTTCGAGCGGTGGGGAATGCAGGCGAAGGAGGGCAAGGGGGCGTGGGCGGAGGAGAATGAGGATGAACGGGACGGCGGAGGACGAGGACAGGAGCCAACCTCGTGGAGGAGGGGAGCGGAAGAGGCGGAGTAGCAGTGCGAGTCGGATGAGTGCACCAACGGGGAGGCGAGAGGCGAGGGCCGACCTTGGAAGGGCACAAGCGGCTGATCTCCCCGCGCGCGCCCTCGGCCTTGCCAGCGCGGAAGGCCTGGTACTTCGCGCGGTAGTCCGCGAGCTCGTTCGGCTCGATGCTCCTGGGCAGGAAATTCAGCGGCGGCCCCAGCCACCTGAGAGGGCCCAGAAAAAGAAGACCGGCGCCCTGTTCTCGCGAAGCAGACGTGCTCCTGCTCTCGACGCCCGGGCAAGGGCCCGCCGTCCTCAACCCTCTCGAGGGAGCAGGCAAGAGGAGGTTCACCGCCCACTGAGGGGGACGAAGGGCGGTCAGGCGGTCAGGAGCAGGTCAGGAAGGAACACAACGCAAGAGAAGAAACAACGAGGGCGGAAATCCAAGGAGAAGCGGAGGTACAGTTGTTGCACCCAGGTGATCTTGACAAACTACACCTTGGACCAGCGGTCAGTGAGGAACAGGGAGCGAGCAAGAATAGAAAGAGAAGAAGGAACGATCCCCAAACGAGCCTCTGTGACCCCACACACAAGAACATGCTACCAGATACCTGACGTCGTGAAAATTCAACAACCCAAACATTTCGATCCCACGAAAGCGGAAATCATCGACCGAGATGCTCCGATCAGTGTGTGAGGACCCCCATGGGCCCCCAAAAAGGGCCGACAAAAATCTCTTGTTTTTTTTCAGTTTAGGGAAACAAGCAAACATAAAAACTCAGAGGTCCGCGCGGATTTCTCGGATCGGCGCTGGACCCGCCTCCCTGGCGCGCGGAGCGCGCCAGGGGCGGCGCCGGAGGCGCCGCCGGGGGGGTCGAGCGCGGATCCGAAAAATCCGCGCGGATCTCAGAGTTCTTCTGTTTACGTCATTCTTCGTTCCCCGGCAATTGGGGGCGCGCCGACCACAAGGGCGAGGCGACTTCCCGAGACGGAAAGGGGGCGTTTCGGAGGGGCTGTGCTCCCCAGAGGCAGGGGGGCCCCTTGGAGCGGATCCAGGCGAGGCGACGCGCTGCCCCCGGGAGACCCCTAAGAGGCCCAGGTCACAAAAGCAGACGAGTCCCGTCCTCCACTTCTGCCTCCTCCTCTTCCTCCTCCTCCTCCCCGTCCTCCTCCTCTTCCATTCCTTTTTCTGATGAATAACTTCTCCCTGTCGCACGCCGAGGCCAATTTTTAGGGCGGGCCGGGCGTTTCGCCTGAGACTTCCTCACCACTCATGACTCTGAAGCTCAAACATTGGCAACACTTTCACTGATGGAGGGCGGGTGTTTTTTAAATGTGGCTCTCGCCTTAGCGCCGCGCACATTCGTCCTAACAAATGCAAGAACTTCACGGATTGAGGATCACCCGTTTTCAAAATGTGGCTCTCGCCTTAGCGCCGCGCATGTTCATTTTAACAATTTGCAAAAAAATCCGCCAGCCCCCTTGTGGGGCCACCAGGCTGTCAGGCGAAGGTTTTGCAGTTTCCTATGCCTGTTGCAGCTTCCAATTTCCCCTGTTACAATTCTGCCTCTTGCTGCTTACTGTTCCTTGTTGATGGACCGCGCGAGGGGGGAGGCACAAACGGGCAGGTTTAGCACGCCCTGAGCGTGTGCTCTGAATTGTTGGGGTGGGCGAAAATTAACACCCGTCACGCAGATCGGCGGGGTCAGGGTCAAAAAACACAAAGGATTTGCCACATTTCTGCAATTCGGTGGCACCCCTCACGCAGATCGGCGGGGTCAGGGTCCACAAACACAAAGGATTTGCCACACTTCTGCAATTCGGTGGCACCTCTCACGCAGATCGGCGGGGTCAGGGTCCACAAACACAAAGGATTTGCGACATTTCTGCAATTCGGTGGCACCCCTCACGCAGATCGGCGGGGTCAGGGTCCACAAACACAACGGATTTGCGACATTTCTGCAATTCGGTGGCACCCCTCACGCAGATCGACGGGGTCGGGGTCCACAAACACAACGGATTTGCGACATTTCTGCAATTCGGTGGCACCCCTCACGCGGATCCGTAGGGTCATGGTCCGCAAACACTAGGTAGGGACTTGCCACATGTCTTTAAATTCGGTTGCACCCCTCACGCAGATCGGCAGGGTCACGACGTCTTACCAATCGCCAGGTGTGGTAACCCCTCTGGTCATCTATTGGTTTTGCTCATTACAAGTCGGCCTCGCATGAAGTTCCGATGCTGCTTCACGACAGCGCCCAGGCCTCATGACATAGCTCTTGCATCGCGCATTCTCCGAGAGAGGGGGCCCGCAGCAGGGGGCGAAGCCATTACGGATTTCACGGATTGAGGGCGGTTCCTTTTCAAAAGTGGCTCTCGCCTTAGCGCCGCGCACATTCGTTCATAAATTGTGCCAGGGTTTCACGGACTCCCACGACCAACGTACAAGAAAATTGTGTTCTGATTGATTCAGGATTATGCGGGTGCAACAGTTACCTTGATTCGCGGCGTTGAAATCCCAAGAATGGCGTCCTGGCGCGATCCAGGACCGTCAAGACGCAACAGTCAAATTGATTCGTGGCGTAAGAATCCCGAGAACAAATAGCTCTTGGGTTTACACTGGTCCTCCTCGTCGTCGTCGTCCTCCTCGTCGTCGTCGTCGTCCTCCTCGTCGTCGTCGTCGTCCTCCTCCTCCTCCTCCTTCTCCTCCTCCCCGTCCTCTCCACCCCTTGTGCCCGCCCTTCTCGACGCCTCTCGCGGCGTGGCGAAGACGGCCCCCAGGAGGACCCCCCGGAGGTCCGAACCATAAAAGCGCGTGACCTTTCTCCTCGAAGGAGCTTTCATGGACGTGCGCGCCAAGCCACGCACATGAATCCCCGATTCGCGAGGCCGCCCTGCGCTCTCTCAAAACCCATGTGAATTCATGTGCGTACGTCGTTCTCTCGCTATTGATATGGAGGCATCCCAACGGGGTCAGAGTCGGAAGATCGCGCCGCATCGCCGATGCATGGGCGCCGTCGGCGTGGAGAGGATCGGGCTCAACATCGCGCCGCATCGCACATGCATCGGCCCTGCGGCACGATCCTCTGACTCCCACCTGCTCACCCGTCCCATTATTCTCCTCCTCCCGCACCCCTCCCACTCCTCCGCTTGCATCCCTCGCAGGTCGCATCGTCCTCCTCACCCTCCTTCTCTTGCTCCTTTTCCTCATCCATTTCCTCCTCCTCCTTCTTATTTTCCTCCTCCTCCTCCTGCTCCATTTCCTCCTCCTCCTCCTTCTCCTCTTCCTCCTCCTCTTCCTCCTCCTCCTCCTCCTCCATGACATCTCCTTATGGCGGGCCAATGTTTAGGGCGGGCCGGGCGTTTCGCCTGAGGCGTCCTCGCCATTTATGAGACTGAAGCTTAAAAATGTGCTAGAGCTTCACGGATGGAGGGCGGGTGGTTTTCAACATGTGGCTCTCGCCTCAGCGCCGCGCACATTCGTTTTAAACATCTGCAGCAGTTTCACGGATTGAGGGCGGGTCGTTTTCAAAATGTGGCTCTCGCCTTAGCGCCGCGCACATTCGTTTAATACATTTGCAAGAGCTTCGCGGATTGAGGACGGTTCCTTTTCAAAATTTTCCTCTCGCCTCATCGCCGCGCACATTCGTTCAAACAAATTGCAAGAGTGTCACGGAGTCCCACGATCAACGTACCAAAAAAAATGTTTTGGATGGGTTCCGGATTATGCGGTTGCAACAGTTGTTGCTTCGGTGTTGAAATCCCAAGACTGGCGTTATGGCACGATTCCGAATCCCCCAAACGCAGCCGTCAGGTTGATACATGGCGTTGAGATCCCGAGAACAAGGTTTCGGCCTGCTTCAGGATCTTCAAACGGTTGTCCTCCAACGAGGCAGTTCCCTCAATGATCATGAACCGTTGTAGGTGCCTATGAAGAGGGAGTTCGGAGGGAGGGTTCATTCCAACATCGTTGATAGCTCTTGGGTTCACACTGGTCTTCTTCTTCCTCCTCCTCCTCCTCCTCCCCCTCCTCCTATTCCCCCTCCTCCTCCTCCTCGCGCTCCCCCCCCTTCCTTCAAAACCCTCCGCCTCCTAGTCCGCCTCCCCCCTCTGCCAACCCGTCTTCTCCCCCTCCCCGACGCCTCTCGACCGCGCCTTCCTGCGCAGGCCCCGCCGAGCTCTCCGCGGCGGTGCCCTCGCCGCACGAGCTCCCCTCGGACCTCGGCGGGAGCGGAGGGCGCGGGCAGCCTCCGCCCTCACGCACGCGCCTCTTCTCCACTTTCCTCACCTCACCTCCCCAACCTCCCCCTCCTCCTCCTCCCTCCTCCTCCTGCTCCTCCGCTCTCCTCTCCTCCTCCTCCTCCTCCTCCTCCTCCTCCTCCTCCTCCTCCTCCTCCATCCTCCTCCTCCTCCTCCCTCCTCCTCCTCCTCCTCCTCCTCCTCCTCCTCTTCTCCTCCTCTTGCTCCCCCCCTCCTCCTCCTCCTCCTCCTCCACCTCTTCCTCCTCCCCCTCTCCTCCTCCCCTCCTCCTCCTCCTCCTCCTCCTCCATTCGTTTTTCTTATGAATGGCTCCTCCCTGTCGCACCCCGGGATCGATCGGAAAAGGGCGGGTCGGGCGTTTCACCTGAGACTCCCTTACCCCTTTCAATTGGCAACAACTTCACGGATTGATGGCGGGTGGTTTTCACAATGTTGCTCTCGCCTTAGCGACGTGCACATTCGTTCCAACAACTGTAAGAATTTAGCGGGTTGACGGCGGGTGGTTTGAATGTGGTTCTCGCATTAGCGCCGCGCACATTCGCTTTCATGTTTGCAACAGCTTCACGGTATGAGGGCGGATGGTTTTCAAAATGTGGCTCTCGCCTTAGCGCAGCGCGCTCACGTCATATGCAAGAGCTTCACGGATTGAGGGCGGGTCGTTTTCAAAATGTGGGTTTCGCCTTAGCGCCGCGCACACTCGTTTTGAACATTTACAAAAGCTTCACGGAATGAGGGCGGTTCATTATCGCCATGTCGGTCTCGCCTTCAGGCCACGCACATGTGATTTAGCACATTGCAGAATAATTTCACCGGCCCGCATGGTTAATGTACCAGAAACCGTGTTTGACAGCGAATCAGGATTGTCAAGGCGCAACAGATACTTGGATTCGCGGTGTACTGGCACGAGTCAGGATCGCCACGCCGCAACTATCATGGTAGTTGGCGCACTTCAAAATCTTGAAATGGTTGTCTCCCAGCGGGGCACTTCCGTCCGTGGAAACGAATCCTTGTATGGGGCCTATGAGGATGAAGCTTGGAGCGAGGGTTTACTCCACCATCGCTGGTGAATGTTTGAGCTTACACTGGTCCTCTTCCTCCTCCTCCTTCCTTGTTGCATATTCTCCGCACTCCTTCCTCCTCCTCCCTCCCTCCTCCCACCTCCTTCTTCTCCTCCTCCTCCTCCAAATTCCTCCTCCTTCTGTGTCTCCTCCTCGTACTCCTCTTCCATCCCCGTCCTCCCCCTCCTCGTCCTCCTCCTCCCCCTCCTCCTCCTCGTATTCCTCCTCTTCCTCCTCCTCCTCCTCCTCCTTCATCCTCGTTATCCCATCTCCTCCTCCTCTTCCTCCTCCTCCTTCTCCTGCTCCTCCTCCATCCTCGTGCACCCTCTCCATCAACCATCCTCCTCCCTCCTCCTCGCTCCTCCTCCCTCATATCCTTTTCCTGTCTCCTCCTCCTCCTCCTCCTCCTCCGCTGCCTCCTCCTCCATTCCTTTTTCCGCATGACTAATTCCTGCCTGCCGCGCCTGGGGGCCAGTCGGAAGGGCGGACCAGGCGATTCGCCGGAGACTTCCTTATCATTTATGGCCCTCAGGTATCAAAATTGGCAACCGTTTTTCTGATTGAGGGCGGGTGGTTTTCAAAATGCGGCTCTCGCTTTAGCGCCGCGCGCACTCCTCTAAACAGCTGTTTCCAAGATGCGGCTCTCGCCTTAGCCCCGCGCGCAATCGTTTTACTGAAACCGGCGCGGCTCCGATTAGGAGATTGCTGTTTGAAAAAGAGTCTGGAGCGAACTCGACGAAACGAAACTGGCGCGCCCGCACACCGGAAATCCACAAGGACTACCGAGAGCCAGCGCGGCTTCGAGGGAAGAAGGACGAGGGAGCAATACGATGATGCGATCGATTTCGCACGCAGCATGGCTACATCTGTTGTCCAACGCTTCTGCCGATGAAGGCGAACAGCTGAGCTGCAAAGAACTTATCTACACGAGCCCTACGGCCACAAGTTCTGCAGCGCTGCACTATCCCTTGCTTCTGTCTCGGCACTCTAATCGGAGATTCTGCAACGCTCTATTTCTTGGCATTGATTGGCATTGCTAGGCAATGTTTGGCGTTGCATGGCGTAGCATGGTATTGCATGCCATTGCTGGGCATTGCTTGGCATTGCGTGGCGTTGCTTGGCATTGCCGAAGAATTCGGGGAGACCCACGAACCCGGGGAACACGAGGAACCCAAGGAACCCGGGGGCATTATACGTGGTGTAATATAGGTGGTGCAATCTACGCGTTGCATTTTATGAGGTGCAATTCGTTTTTTTGACAAACGAATTGACGAATACCATACTCTTGCAAACATCACACCCGCCCACCTGCAACTTGGTTTGCAAAACCCATGCGGCGGCGATTGCGGTAAGTGCTTGGCGTTGGCTGGTGCATCTCTGTGGCGGCGCCAGCCCGCGCACGCTCGCACGCACAGCCGCCAGCTAGTTTGGCGCGACCGACGCGGCCGCGGTGGCGCTGACAGCTGGGCACGCCCTAACGGGCAGTTCAATGCGAGTGGGTGACTTGGGCGCGCGCGGCATCATGGCGACGCCGACAACGGTACACACGATTATGAATGGCGATGGTGGTGACGATGGTGGCGAGCCAATGGCGGCGCCGACGTTGATCACGCCCGCCGACAACGCTGACGATGTCTTCGCGTCGGCGATGAAGGTTTCATAAAGAGTTCGACATGCGCGCGCGGCCGACGCTCGCGAGCGGCCCGTGTGGTATTATTTGACGCGGGTCGTGCCCCCCCCCAGAAAGCGCGCAAAGGAGTTCGAATGCGTTCGGCATGCGGCGCAAGAGGTCTGTTTGGCAAAATGTGATTAATCCGTTGGACAATCGATTGTTGTCTTGAGGATCCGCAAGATCGCGAGGGCGACCACGTATTTCATATGTGTTCGGGGCAGTCGATTTCGGCATGCGCGTGCGACGACGCGCGCGCGTGCACTCCTTCTCATTGTTTGCAAGGAGGTCTTGCGGCAACACGCGCGCAAGGGCACCCGACCGATTTCGACACGCACGCGCGAGAGGCCAATTTGGAAGTATTTCGCGAAGGTGTAAACAAACGATGGTTTCCTTGAGAATTCGAAGGGGCGAGAGCGCAATCTTGTTTTGAAAACTCTTGTTGCGAAACTGTGTGTTATTAAATGTGTACGCGACGAACGATTTTTAAATCCGCCCATCCCTTGTTGGTCTCTAGGCGTGTGAGATTCTTCCCCCCTCCATAAGGCCCCCCCCTGGGATCCCAAACTGGCAATTTGACCCCCCCCCCTCGCCCTGGACGACCCACCGCCGAACGAGCCATGGGGGAACAAAGGACCCCAAAACGAGCCAAGAGCGCACCACAACGCCTCCCTGACCGTCCAAGAGTGCGACGAGTCGCCGAAATATCCTTCCAAGACGCCCGCGATGGCTTCCAGACAGCATCCGAAGCCCCCCAAAACGACCCCGAAGGCCCCCAAGAGGCGTCTCAAGCGAGTCCCGAGAATCAGAAATCGCCTCATTCCCTTGCTAAGCGCTCGTTGTTACCATATTCGCCTCTTGAAGTTCCGCAACGTCCGACACGGGCCATGAAACCTTCCGACACGGGCCATGAAACCTTCCATATCCTCCCAGGACGGCTTCGGCAACTGCCGAGAGAGGTCCAAGAGGGCCCACATACGGCCCAAGAAGCGCCCAAAAGGGCCTCCAGACGGCTCCAGGAGGGAGCCCGGAAGGGCAAACTCGTTGTCATTTGGCTCCGAGATCCCCCCATCCTGCTGCAAAAACCTCCCAAGAGGGTCCCAGGGGGCCCCAAGCGAGGCCCAAAAGGCCCCCAACAGGTTCCCAAACGACCCCAAGAGGCCCATGCACTACCTCCAAAACGCCCCCGTGATGCCCCGAAACGAGATCGTGACTCCTCCTCCTCCTCCTCCTCCTCCTCCTCCTCCTCCTCCTCCTCCTCCTCCTCTTCTTTGACCCCCTTCCGCCCCTCCCCCATCTTCCCCCTGCTGCTCCTGCTGTTCCTCCTCCTCCTCCTCGTCCTCCTCCTCGTCCTCCTACTCCTCCGGTTTCACCTTCTTCACGTTCCTCTTCTCATCGGCTTCGTCCTCCCTCTCGCTCCAGCTCCTACGAGGGCACGGGCGCCCTGCTGGCATCATTTGCGCGCCTTGCGTTTCAAGGTGCCCCTCTTCTCGCCACGCGCGACATGGCTCGCGTCCTCGGAAAAAACCGACTTCGGCAATTTTCTATGGCACTTGCCACTGCACGGAAAGGCCTGCCAACTGCGCGACGTTAGCCCGTCGGCAATGCAATATTTGCGCGTGCAACTTTACTATTTCCCGTGAAGTGCTCGCTCTCCTGTTTGGCGCTTATGTGCTCCTGCTGGGCGAAAAGTTTCTTGCGCGCTGCGCGCATCAGCAGTCGCTTCAACCGCTTCGACTCATCGGCCACACCCTTCGCGGTGATTCCCCGCTTATGACAACTTTCACACACCACTCTTGCTCTCGCTTCTTCCTTCGTCCGGTGGCCCTCCATTTGGCTGCGGTTCAAATGGCCCGCCTCCCAAGAGGGCACTTCGCAACCGGGCGCGCCGCGCGTCAGCGGCTCCGCTTCCGCCTCTGCTTTCCGTTTGCGATTCCCTGCTTCGCAATTGTCCACAGCGCCGTCTTCTCCCGCTTCACCGCGCACTTCCGACGCAACCTCTCCCCCGCTGCGTTGCGCTTCTCCAGAGCTTTCGACGCGCCCGCCTTTTCGTCGCACAGCGACGCGCGCTTGTCGCTAGAACATCGCAATGTGCCGACGCTCTCGTTCGATTTCGCGTTGCCGCCCCGCGACTTCTGCATGGCTTTGACATGGCTGCACTTCGCGCAGTACATTGCCTGGATCCTTTTAGCCCCCCCCTCGTCGGCCGCTGCGTCGCGCCTTCATCCTGCCG